TTATTTTCTTCGGGTAGTAGTGGAAGGAATTTGTCGATTAAATGTTCGGTTTGATTTCTGTTGTTTCTTCTTTTCTGCTCGTTGGTTTGGAATTCGGGATAATGCATCTATATTGAAATGTTTCCGTCCGGATTTATAAATGACTTCGAAGTCGTATTCTTGAAGTGTTGTTATCCACCTCATACTTCGTCCAGTGGGTAAAGATTTGTTGATAAACCAGGCGAGTCCAACATGACCGGTGATAAGGTCAAATTTTTGTTCTAATAAATATTTAACTGCCCATACAACGGCGAGACATTCCATCTCGTGAGCCGCATAATTTTGTTCAGCTGGAGACAGTCCTCGACTAGCGTAAGCAACTGGTCTTTCTCATCCGTCATTGTCTAATTGTGACAAGATGGCTCCTACTCCTAACTTGGAAGCGTCGGTTGCTAGGATAAATTTTCGTTTATAATTAGGATACATAAGAATAGGTGCGGTAGTCAGTTTTTCTTTTAAAATCTGGAAAGCTTGTTCTCTTTCTTTATTCCATATAAATTCTTCTTTCTTTAATAATTGATGTAGTGGATGAGTGATTTTTGAAAAGTCCTGGATGAATCTTCCATGAAAATTATCAACGTCTAAGTCCAACTCGAAAAAGACAGGAAGAAGACTCATCACTATGGGAATCCAACTATGTTCTGTCTGTTTAATACCTTGTCAGGATAAGCTTTGCGACGACTGTTGGCCCGAGATAATTCCGGTGCCAAACGAAGAATGGACCGACCAACCTAACTGGTTTGAAGAGGTTGAAGAACAAATTTTTGGCACCATTATGGATTATCCGATACCTACTGATTTTCAAGGTCATGAACCAATTAGGCCAGAGAAAATAATCAAACGACAGAAGGATAATAAACAATCATTAAAATACTATAACCATCAAAAAGAAGGAATCCAACCAGAAAAGGCACATTCTACCGACGCTGGATTTGATCTCCGATATCCCGGAAAGAAGCCCTTACTACTGGAACCCCACACCGTAACAAAAATTGACCTCAAAATTGCTGTCGAAGTA